TGATGATGATGATGATGATGATGATGATGATGATTATGATGATGATGATGATGATGATGATGATGATGATGATGATTAAAGAAGACAATTTGATGGGGGAAGGTGGGGGCGCAACAACAACTGTGGCGACAACAAGTCAGTGCTTTATTTACAACTTGAGTAAAGAGAAGAACATTGACATATTAATATTATCATCACTCAGTACAGGGAAATCGCAAGACAGACAGACAGAAAAGAAACAAAAGGAAAGAAAAGCAGTAAGATCAACCAGTGGCGTCCTCCGGCCACCCGTGTTCAGTAAGAATTTCACAGCACTTGCAACACAAATAGGCCATACAGTTGACAAAGATCAGAGGTGTTACTATTAATTCATTAACTATTTTTAGTCACTGCGAAGCGCAAGAATTAGTAACTGAAAACCAAAACAAGACAGCAGCTATAGACAACCCAAATAACCCATCAGTGTGAAGAAATGGCGCCTGGTTTCTTTGCTACGTGTTATATTACTTAATTACGTAGCATAGCCGGAGGCTGGAGGGCGAGTGAGCGCTTCCTCTCATGGTCAAAATCCAGTTAGCCGGACAGACAGATGATTACAGAGAGCTCGCTTCTCGGAGCCTCCCAAGACTCGGGCTAATGCGTCTGTCTAGTAGTCCGGGACAGAAAATTTCCTGGTGGGTTCTCTCAGCCTTGTGACATGATTACCCGCTCCAGTGCTCATCGTAAGTGACCAGCGCTACGTCATCTGTGACCTACATCGGACAGGCGTGCCTGCAGGGATGCTCTCTCTGTCTCTGTCTCTGTCTTTGTCTCTCTTCCTCTCTTTCTCTCTCTCTCTCTCTCTCTCTCTCTCAGTACAAAGGGGTCAGTACAAAGGGTTTATTTTTAGTATCTGCGTACTTTACTCTAAAAATAGATGAAAATTAAATAGTCTTAAAGTGGCACTCCAACTTTTGTGATAGGCACTTGCCCTGAAACTCCATTACAAAACTGCTGCGCCATGATAAGTTTCTTTTCACAACCTAAACCAAGTTTTGGATTGGGTAATGAAAATATTGGGATCATGTACACCTCCCAAACACCCACCCACACACACACACACACACACACACACACACACACACACACACACACACACACACACACACACACACACACACACACACACACTGGCTTCGTTTTACGAGCAACTGCGGGGAAAAGATAGCCTCTGCACCAACGACGCAGAGCAATTTGTATCAACTTGACTTAACTTAATCATATCTTTACTTAATAATTGAGGATAGGTGAAAAGACTCTTTCTTCATAAATTTATACAAAACACTATAGATCTCCAAAACGCGACTATGTGGACATAAGAAGGAATTTGTCTAGCTTGAAGAGTACACAGCTACAGCAAGCAGTGGT